ATGTTCTACACGAGACGGCAAATAGGATTCTACGGCATTACTTCAGCGGCTGGCCGTGCTAGTGCCGGCCCGAGTCTTTTCACCTGTTGCGCTTGCGCCGCTCCTCGACAACCTCGAGCATTAGCTTGGCATGCATGGTTGCCAGAGTGAGCTCCTCCTCAACCTACCAATATGCCAAAACAACGGCAAGAAACGGCAATAACCGTGATTCTTGTTGAAGGCACTGTAACCATCCACGGCACCCCCGGTCTCATTTCGACAAGGCTTGTGGGGCTACGCGCTGCCTGTTGAGCTAACGTGTATGACCGAACAAAGAGGCTACATCTTTCCCCTGCAGCACTCAGGAAAGCTATGGTTACTACGTGGACATCCTGATAGATTACGTGCCAGGAAGGGGAACGCAACGCTGGTTGTTGCCCGATTTCTCTGCACGACGTCATCAGTAGCGATAGGCGTTTCAGAAATTGGCGACAACTCGATGTGGTGATGGGCTACAGCCACGATGTCCAGGTTCGCTGCAAAACATTCAAGATATTGATTCTGGCGATTTTTTCGTTTTGTCGTTCGGTGGTTCCCTCCACGACGCACGCGCTTTGTGGTCCGAATCAATGCTCGCTATCGAAATGCGCGCCTTGGTGGCAAGCGAGAGGGCTGGTGAACAAATGAACGGAGGACCACGCCTTCACGACTGGTTGCCTCACCCTTAGCTTCGACATGATCTCGCCGGCATCGGCCAGCAGGAGCTGCGCCTCCCCCCTGTCTACGCTGCCATCGTACTCTCCTCGCGACATGGCGCCTCTTTCTCCACGCTCCGTTGCTGCCGAAACTCCTTCGGCATCTATACGATCGAACGCGTTCTTTTGGTCGGCAATAGCACGTGCGGGGGGGATGCGGACATCGCTATATGTTAGAGCTGGGAGGGGGGGGCATGGCGGCGCCTGCCAGAAACGCATTGGTACGTTTCGCGGACGATATTGTCCTTTGGGGTCGACAGCAAGCACGCTGATTGACGAGCACAGAGTACGTGTAACCATTGCCACGGTCTTTTCGGTATGATTCAAGAAAATATGCGTGGCGGCACATGAGTTGCACGTTGGAAACTAAGCCCTACTGCGGAAAACCCCAGACTGCACTTCACAGGAAACGCGATGGTATCATCCACGCGGCCGGAATTCCCAAAAGTCCGCCTCATGACAAATAGCACGCGGCCACGCTTTGATCGAAAACGTGGAAGCTCAAGAAGGGAGCCCACGGTCAGCTCGTCCCGCTCGCTCACTTTGGCCCGGAGCCATCGCTGGAGACTCTCCGGCAGGAGGTCGAGTCCCATCGTCAGCAGGTCCACCTCGAGAGGGTGATCCGGCTCAACCATCCGGCGGTGGCCGACGAACCCGGACTGGGTCAGGCACCCGTCGAAGGAGACCGTGCCTCCGACGGCCGCCGCCGCCGGGGGCCCCGCCTGATCCGCAACGTAGCTCAGCCAGAACTCCCTGGTGTGTGCCGTTTCGCAAGGCCAACGGAGCAATGCGCCGAGGGTCTAGCAACGCGCTGAGGGTGTAGCAATTATCTACTATCTGGCCCCGAAACAAGGCATTGTCATTAAATCGCGGGGTTCTGTTGATCTCCTTGAATTCCATGCGGCGTCTTCGTAGCACGTAGGCACAACAATTTTGGGCTGAACACGCCGAAAAGGTGCTAGTGCTAATAACTAACTCCGCTCCAAGAACGATGAAATAGGTTCGTACAAGCACTTTAAAGCAAAGAACATGCCACTACTTTCCGAAATCACCCCTTAAGCAGATATTGAGGAATTTCTCTGCAATAATTAACCCGCCTGATACATGAAATAGCTACTTGCGTCACACTTAGACCCCAAAACATTGTTATTCATTTTCAGTTCAAGAATGTTTGCGCGACGTGTTCCCCTCCTGTTGTGAACGTATACCTGTTGGTCGTCAGCCGTTCGCCCAGCGTCCCCTTGTCTCGGCCAAGCCTCACCAAGTATGCTGAGGTCGTCGGGAACGGACACGAGACTTCAGCCGACGCTATGGTACATATGATGGAAAAGTCAACTCGTCCAACCCATGAGTTCGCACGCGTGTAAATGGTGACGAAAGTGAACAACTACATTTAGTACATTTGTATCCCCGGGTCACAATATGCTCAAGGTTCGTCTTCGAGATAGGTTTGACCGAGATGTCCGCCGAAGAACGATCAACAAGCCCCACACACACGGCTTGGCACAGGGCCTATGTTTGGGGTCTTCCAGATTCGTCGGAGACACACATGGTTTGTGGGACTCAGACTTGGAGACCACCGCTGGATCAACAAACCACCGGTCTACTTTAGGAATTGGAGCGGTGAATGATGTCGATGACGGTTACGGTACACATCTCGTCACTGATACTTCGATGGATTATCAGTTCTCTTGACCCTTCATTCAGATGAGAGAAAACAACAACATGCGGGTCATGTTTCTCTTGATATTATTTCGCCCTAGAGGTCTCCCCCATGTTATTCTTCCAATTGCAATAGACAACAGTCGAGCACCTATTCAAACAAACAACTTATCACTCCCCGCGGATCTTTATCAATGAAATGCCTCGGTGGGTCACATGGAGGAGCTCCACCCGTTTGCATTTGGCGCCATCACGGGCATGAACCAACGCTACCTCGAAACTCGTCAAAGCTCAAGCACCCGTCGCCGTCAGCGTCGAACAACCGTAGCAGCGCTCGGGCTCGATCCACCGCCCTGCATAGCACGACCAAGATAGACAAGCCCAAACGGAGGCCTCGTTGCATATCAATCCATCTCGGGGGAGATCTTACAATATCCAAGTAACCGCTCGCGCTCTAGCTTACTGGTACGGTCCTATTCGTCCCCGGCTTCACGGCTTGTCTGAATAACAAGCGAGTGGATACCGCGAATGAGGGTGAAACACGGCTTAAAGACACGCGGAGGGTCACACTGGGTCAACGTTGTCCTTTGCTAGACTCACAGAAACGCTCGGAATCGATCCTTTCAATACCGCCTGCCGTTCCCGACAGGGAGACTGGGAAGATAATGGGGTACCTAGAGCAGAAGCTGTGCACAGCAGAACAGTCAAGCATCAAACTCAGTGGAGATGCGTTGGGTTGTTCGCATTATTCGTGCAAGATAGTAGACGGAGCAGGCAACAAAACAAACCGATGAGTGAGATACCTGTCCGTCAGTGGTTTGGGGCCCGGCCCGTCGTCAGTACCAGCTGGCCAGTTGACGGCATGCAGGAACGAGCTTGTCTTGGACTCGTCGACCGTGTCTTGCGGTGCTAGATCCCGCTTTGAAATCTGTTCAGACGGAGTAGTCATCCGTTTCATGGATATGATTCGCTTGCCCACATTTTACACCAGAACCTAGATTAAAGTAAATCCCAACAATACGTTCGTCGCTGCCTCTCCACGCGCTCACAAGTCTGTGTTCGACGGGAAGAATGGATGGCAGCAACACCCAGACATCGAGAAAAGCGCCACAATATGAGTAACCTGGTTTGAGCGAGTGAGGGTCCTGGACCTTTGCGCCCCTGTGAATACCGTGTACAACATGCCCATCTCAGGCCTCGTTTCACGGCCAACGAAAGGCGAAACGCCGACCAGCGCTAACAGTCTGTTGTGTGCCCAACCCTCTCCACAAAAAACCGTTGTGGACATGGCTCCCTTTACCGATCATGTGTCTCGCCATATCGGCAGAGGTATTTCACTTCTTGTCGGAGCACGGATGATTGTTCCTGACAAAGAATGGAGTGTCAGTCGGGTTCCGTGTCGGCTGGAAGCCGGCCCATCCCGGTCAGCCTCAAAGAAAGAATAGCGCACCCACCTCTGGTACGCACTTTCCCGCAAGAACTTCGGCCTCGGTCTCCCGAATTGATTGTCCCACGTTGTGCAGCTGGGCGATGATGTACGCTCGCCGTCTTCTCAGAGCCGCGATCTGGATCGTTTGCATATGCGTTGACGAACAACATTGTAGGCGAAGGAAAACGAGAAGGCGTACATTCATTGGCCGAAACCAGAATGGAGAAACAATTAAAGTCTCTACGCAGTGCCTGGTACAAGACATTCGCCCAACTCACCACGCAACGGTGTCACACATAAACATAGTTTGTATAGCGAATCCCGAGGCAAATATGTTCGCTAGACAAAGTGACACATCGAAAGCATCAGATTCACCAGATCGGTAAGAACTTCACATTCTGTCGTTGGAAAATGTTGAACAAATAGTCGACGTGGTTGTGCCAACTTCAAGCAATATACAAATGAGGGATACGCGCCGCACAATTGAAATTGTGTGGCATTCCTCTGCGACCTTGGCGAATACATCAAATTTACGTAGAGATGTAGACTGGCGCCACAAGATATGGGGATCAAAATACCTACAGCAGCAAAACAACTGTCACAGGCACCTCGGTGGATTCTTCATCTATTGCGCAGCGACCCTCGTCTTCTTGGCCGTCTCCTTCGCTCGAGCTCTCAAGAAGGGAATTTCCGAGCTCCTCGAAACTCCCCTCTCCAGGAGTCAGCTCGGCCGAAGGGGCCATCAACGTCGACGGAATGCTACTATTCATCGTGCTCGGTATGCAAATATTTCACGGTGACCTTGCACAGAAGAAGCTCCGTGTAGACTTACAGTCTAAGGGCTCGTTCCGAACGTGAGACTCAGGACAACATGACCAAGAGGACTAGCAGTACACAGCGTGCTCTGTTGCACTACAAAAGTGGTGCTCCTTGTACTATTCGGCCTTCACACCTCTAGACTGTACTACCTTGAACACCCGCGTGTAGTTTTCTACGTTGAAATGCACGTGACAGGCGCTCTCTCTCGCGCGCGTGGTGTTGGATCGCGCGTGATGGAGAACCACACTCAACAACGAGTCGCATCCAAAGGTAGATGGTAGGGGAGGGTGTATGATGCTGCGGAGTCCCCAAGCGGCGGAACCTCACGGAACACACCAAGCTCAGACCTGCTGGAACTGGGACAACACCAACGCCGTCGCGCTGCTGTTGCCAAACCTGCTTACACAAACACAGAAACCATGAAAAAAAGGGCCAGGTCGGGGGTGTCCTTGCTTGTGGTGCGTTCAGCGGAGGTGCGAAAGACATGCAGGGCATGGTTTCTGTCAATATCGTTGGCCGCCCTCCTCCTCTGTTCCGTCCCCTTGATCTCCGCTGTTGGTGTCGCCGCCTCGACAGCTGCTGGCGCCAAAGGAGCAAGCTCTCGCCACAACAACAACTGGGCCGTGCTGGTGAGACGAATTTTAGAAAGTAGTGCGTGTGCGTGTAGAGTGTAGATGACGATCCGATCACACCAATTAAAAGCTAAGCGTGTGCGCCGTCATCAGCACACTCACCTGCTGGAAATCTTATCAGCCGAGGCTGTGAGCGGCGCATTGGCTGTCCTTGTCGGACATGCAAGCTTTCGAGCGCCTTTCTAGCACGATTTGGACCAATAGGTTGACGACCCCTTTGGTTTTGCACGGGAAAAGCAGTCGCGTCCGCCACAACCCGCAGAGGAAGAACGAGACGGCGGTGGACTAGGGTAGACGGCAGCTGTGGTGTGCAGTATATTTTTTTTTCATGGATTTTGCTGTTGGATTTTGCGCTGTTGGATTTTGCTTCTGGAGGGAAAGTCTTCCGACAAGCTTTAGGCTGGTAAGTCGGTTGAACGCTCGGTTTAACATGCATACAGCGTTCCATTGGTTACCCTGACCAACGATGCTTACATTGTTCTACATGTAGGCCCTACTTCAGGCACCACATCTGCCTGTCAGTGTGACACAGACACCAGACACACAACTTCGAGAATAGCGACAGATACACAGTTGATAATGAAGTTGATTGTGTGCGGGACATATCTGGTACGTTGAGTCCCCCTCTCACGTGATTACTTGTTGAATCGGCAGCACTTTTCCATGTACAATCGATGCAGGTGTGCACATCCCGCTTCTGGTTCAACTACCGGCACGTGGCCAACACCCTGTCTGTGTACCACACGGTGAGGCGCCTGGGCATCCCGGACTCGAACATCGTGCTGATGCTGGCGGACGACATGCCCTGCAACGCTAGGAATCCGTTTCCGGGGGGGGTATATAACAGCAAGGACCATGAGCTCAACCTTTACGAAGGAGACGTCGAAGTGGACTACAGGTAGAAGTCATTTTTAGTGTTACATCGCACACACGCTCTTCATTTCGTTGTGGCCGGTCCCGTGTTGTTTTGCGTGGAAGGGTTGGTGTCTGCGTGAAAGGTAGTCCCTTCTCGTTGCTGCACGAGAGAAGTCTCGTACACGTTGTTGTTGACCTCGCCTCAATCAACAAATTTTGGCACCAGCCTGCACGATGCGGTGTATGTATTTGACCCGCCAGTCGGGGTGACACAGGCGGAAGTCAAGACAGAAGGTTCGTTGTTATTTGTTCCTCTTGCGGTGCTTGCATTCAATTTTAGCGCGAGAGGAGTTGGGCTGTCTCTTCCCTCTGTGTTGTGTGCACTCACGACCGCGCGTGTTTCTTTTCCACATTGCGAGTTTTTGCATCCCGAGCAAAACATATCGCATACCATACAGCCTCGGGTCCGACTTAAGTAGGTAACCAGCTGACGACAAAGCCACGGGTGTTTCCGCGCTCACGTCCCTATTTAGGGAAGTATCCGCTCCATAACGGTGTGGGACCCTGGACTCACAACAGATGGGAGGAAAACGCGGCAAGACCATTGTATCCTCTTGTTCACAAAGGTTTCCTTGGTGTGGGCGGCTGTCTTTTGATCATGGCTCGCTCAAAAGCATCGCCATCAAACCAGTTGCCGTCGTTCGGCCAGGTTGGCTCTTTCGTTGCAGATCATTGCACCAGGAAATCGAAATCCGCGGCAACCTCACGTTCGAAAGCAACCGCGCACGCTATGCTGCTGTATGTTTTCGTGCCCAGAGGAGAAGAAGTGAGTGTGGAGAGCTTCTTGCGCCTGTTAACCGGGCGAACTCTACCGGGAACACCGCCTTCCAAGGTAATCCCGATGCAGGAAGCGAGACCGCACCTTGCACATATATCTCCCCCTGTATGTGCTATCCTGATTCATGTATTTTCGTTCTATGCACCCCCCTCTACCCCAACCAACTATCTCCAATCCCACCATGCTACGTCTTGGTTGTGGTAATCTTTCTCTCTTCCCTTCTAGTTTGTGTTGTGCTCCCCCTTCGCCCGTCTGCCTTTGCCCCCCTCTCCCTCTTGATCCATCCCCTTCTCGACGACATCTCTTGCGAACACCTGGTGCAGACGCTGGCGACAGACGAGCACAGCAACGTGCTCATCTACATGAACGGACACGGCGGAGACCAATTTCTCAAGTTCCACGACATGGAAGAAGTATCCAGCCACGACCTGGGGGGAGCCTTGCGAGAGATGGAGCTCAAGAAGCGATATCACAGGGTGCGTGTCTTAAAACGCCAGACCGCCTGATGCGGGGCGGTGTCGGGGCGTCTGGGCGGGGGCACTCAAAGTCATGTCCCGAAGGCGAATCAACGGTACCGTGGTGGCGGTAGTTGCGGTACTATTTGTTCTAGCGGTGTTGTTCAGGTCTAACGTGTGTTGACCTCTAAATTTGGTACGTAGTGTGTGTCCCCCTCTGTTGTTGTGCGTTTTGGCCTGTTGGCTACTTGTCGCCCTTCTTTTGGCTGCATTTGTCGACAATTTTTTGGCATGGCTCACCGAATGCTTGCGACTACCGCGCCCGTTGTCCTCTGCTCGCGCCCGTGTTGATTCGATGCTTGGTTCGATTCTTCGAAAATCCTTGAAAATTCGTCGAACTTTCGATGATACACGACAAAAACAGGTACTGTTCATGGTGGATACGTGCCAGGCAATGACTCTCTTCGAAGAGATCGATTCAAAGGATGTCATTTGCATCGGCAGCAGCGTCCGTGGGGAGAATTCATACGCTCGAGGGGTGAGTTCTTGCACTGTAATAGCGTGTCTCGCACCTAGTTGGCACAGTCGAAAACCTTCAAGCGGCAAGGTTGAGAGCAAGAGTCTCGGCAAGGTGCGCAATAGCCACATTTCGTGCCTGTTTAGTCAGAGAACGCAACCCTGATCTTGAAGCCGGCCACTAACCGTCCCCTGCCCGGCGTATTTATCCGACTTCATATCGCGCACCGATGTCCTCGGCAGAGCGACGCAACGATCGGGCTGTCCCTGATGGACAGGTTCACGTCTGCGATGCTGGACTTTTTTCAGGCCGCGATAACGAAGGGGGAAGACGTAACGGCGAACAGAGTGCGGGGGTTCAGTAGCGGAAACTCCGCCCCGCTGAACCTAAGAGATGATGTGGGTTGGTTTGAAACTATCTGTGTTATCTTGTGTTTTTCAGATCGGGGTTTTAGTTTTCTCAGTTTTTCTGCTGGATGGTTTCGAACCATGTGTGAATTTGAGAATAGATGGTCATGTTGTATAAGGTTGCGCATGAGCGGCCTTGATGCTCGCTGCCGTTGGCACTTGTTTCCCATGGGAGATTCTTGCTGCTTGTATGGGTCCTGTGGACAGGTGATGTTCCTACTGATAGGTGCAATTGAGTTGGCGTTGTTTTGTGTTTCCGTTGGTGCTATCGGTGCTCATCCGTGGTTCAAAACCAGCCGCAACATAGGGCTTGTGCTATTCAGATCTGAACAAATCCGGAGTCTTCTTTGGAACATTGCTGCTGTCGTGCTGGCTACGTCTGGGGCCAATTTCAACACGCGAAATACCCGCCTGTATTGCCCGCCCCCTATCTGCCCTCTCCGTCAAGCTATCTCTAAATCACGAAGCCACCCACCGCATTTGGCCTTGTTGCATGCGTACAAAAACGCCACCCCGCCCCTGGCGATTTGTATTATTGATATGGTGCACTACGTCATGAATATGCAACCCTTTTCCGCATGCTATCCAGGTCACCCTAGGGGCCTTGATGCATTCGATGCGGCCGAAGTCACTCCTCTCGTCCCCGACGGTGGAGCTCAAGGGCTGGACGGGACCCCCGTTAAATAAGGTTCGTGTTACACACACGCGTCCACGCGCGAAGAAACATTCACGCTTGAGAATTTAGGCGTAGTCATTGGCATCTATGTCTCGGATTGTTTCCCCGAAAGTTCAAGACTCCCCCGTCGACGGCACATTATTGGTGTCAAATATCCGTCAGCACGCGTGTAGCGATGAAAAGAGGAGCGCGGCGTATCAAGAAGCTGTGGGATGCGCGCAGGTTGCGTTTGCGCAGTGAAATCTACCCTGTTCGTCTCCGATTGCCATGCCCAAGTAGATTTTCCCGCGCTTTGGAGACTTGTACCTGCTCCGCGGGCAGTGGCATGCGCAGGCTTGGCCGAAAGTGTGCGCCAGAGAATCTGTGTGTGCCTTGTTTTTGTTATTTTTCCGTCTTTCCCCCTTTGCGTCCGATCGCGCTCGTAGCAATCTCTCGTTTACCTCCCCAGCGCGGTTTGGGGTTTGCCTCGGCCGTAGCCATGCTGCGGGCTCGAACGAGGTGAGTTGGTCCCTCTGCCACTAAATTGGCCGACACACCGAACGAATGCACGGTGCGCGCTCTGTGATATCGGATTGGTCGAATTATGACCTTGCAAAACCCTCCGCACGATAAACCGCGGGAAAAAGTCACAATTACCTTGCTCCGGCCTCCCTGCGTCTGCACGACGCATTCCTTCCCTCAATGATGGTTTTGCCAGATCCACGTTACCGACTTCTTTGGTTCGGTGCTCAGCGTGGAGCTAACCACAGATCCGTACGAGCTCGTTGGCGTCGAAGAGTAAACGCCGGAGCGGAGGCGGCACGGGTTTTTAAGCCGAGGGACGCTATCAAGCCGCGGGCACCGAGGACGAAGTTTGCCGTACAGGAGTTAAGTTGACACGGTGTTTGCGGGAAGATGGTAAGGTCTAGCAGTGTTTTCACTGGAATAGGCGATTCCAGTCACTGGACAGATACGGGAAACGAGGTGGGTTGCTGTTGGTTCTTGCTGCAGCTGCAGCATATCGACCGGCCTCGATAGCTGTACGGTGGAATGACGTCTTCGGTTGGGGGGGGGGGGGNGCGTTGGAATGGAAGAATGCGGGGTGTGTCGTGTGCATGAGATGCGGTTATCGCAGGGTGGACATGGAAAGCAGTGAACGGCTTTTGCTTCGGCTGCCGTTGTGGTATGTATGCATATGTACTGGCAGAGAGGAAGAAGATACAACTGGAAAGTGTAGCGGCGATGGCGACGTTGCCGTGGATAACGTGAACATCTGCTGCAAATTTGTGTTTTCAGCTCTAGGACCTACGAACTCATGTAAATATCACCGGGTGTGTCCTTGGGGAGGACAATGCACGTAGGTACGGTGTGTCATTGTTTATACAGCCGATCCGGTCGCTCTGGCAGATCACCGTTGTTGAATCCGTCTTCTTTCGCTGGGCCGGGTCACGAAGTCATATCGGTGTCCCTGAGCTCCATCGAAGACAAATGTCTCGATTTCCATGTGCTCGCGCAAGGGACACACAATGCTTGTGCGAGGTACCGAGTTCCTGCCGCGTAGGGAACGATATTGCTTGAGTTTATGGGGAAGGATAAGTAATTATGCCCTTCAATCTTCGGTTGTTTCGCTGACGATTCAATAGATCATACCCAAGGAAGTGCAGTGTTGCGGCACTCGAGACCCCATTCATATTGCATCACCTTCACCTGCAAGAAGGTGAACACTGCCGGTAGAGGGAATCAGTGGAGTAGATAGTATGCGAGGACCCCATGCCGGATGCCGCGCCACCCACCTACCCTACCACACACACACTCACATAGCCCCCACAATCCCCGCAGATCACTATCGAATGCAGGGCAGCCCAATCAGAACTGCAACCAAACATTAGTTGCCAGAAGAACTTTGGACAAATTGGGGAAGATGTCCAGAGGTTCAGTAGGGAGGGAGGAGGTTTCATGGTGGGCGATTTCAACTCCACAGGAAGGGAAAGCTTCCAGTGTGTGTTTTCGTCCTATTTATTATGGCGACAGTCCCCCCATTTTTCGTGGTGAGGCGTGTACTACACTTTTCAGCGTATGTTGAGTACTACACTTTTCAGTGCATTTTTTCGCACAACCACAACCATCCAGGGTCACACAGGAGGAGGTAAACACCAGGGCCTTTATCTTCTTTTCATTTGTTTTCATGCCCACCTTCCTCCTGCGGTGCGTGCTGAATTTTTTTTTATCGCGAGAAGGGTCCAGCCGTCCCTTTCCCTCGTCAACGGTGCTGACGTCGAAGTTTGGTACTTACAAGCGCTTTTCAGCTATAGATAATTCGCTTTCACCCGCAATTTTTGTAAATTTTGCACCCCATGGGTCTTCGAACTCACGTCCTCTGCGACAAGCGGTTTACGAGGATACCACTAGACCACCAGGGCGCCCGGCTTCTCCAGTAGAGAACAGCAATCCGGCAGCACGGACAAGACAAAGTGAATGACAACGGAGTGATGATGCTTGAATTCTTGGGAAGCAACGGCTGATGGTGTTGAATGGCAAAAGGGAATGCGATAAGCCGGAGTTCACCAGGCAAAGGGCAGTTCGCAATCAATACTCGATCTTCGCCTACATCCTGGTAGATGGGGGAGCACACAGATCCCAAAGCTACACGTAAGTGCGATATATATAGGTTCGACCGACCACTTCCTCATATGGGCAAGCTTCAACCGATCTAGAAAGATGGAGAGTAAGAAACAGCGAAAAGGGACACGGGATGAAATCCAGGAGGGACTGGCTGGTAGTGTAGAACCCTTCAGGAAACTGCGGAGAAGCGTCGAAGANGCTGATGGTGTTGAATGGCAAAAGGGAATGCGATAAGCCGGAGTTCACCAGGCAAAGGGCAGTTCGCAATCAATACTCGATCTTCGCCTACATCCTGGTAGATGGGGGAGCACACAGATCCCAAAGCTACACGTAAGTGCGATATATATAGGTTCGACCGACCACTTCCTCATATGGGCAAGCTTCAACCGATCTAGAAAGATGGAGAGTAAGAAACAGCGAAAAGGGACACGGGATGAAATCCAGGAGGGACTGGCTGGTAGTGTAGAACCCTTCAGGAAACTGCGGAGAAGCGTCGAAGACGGACAGGTAGACGTACAAGCAGCAGGGGACAGGGTTATTGAAAGGCGGGAGTCCATTATGAACACAACAGGAGACAGAGTAGTGGGAACGAAGGCGGTACGATGTGAGGTACTGGCTAAGTGGTGGGAAGACGAGCTGAAAAAATAGGGGAACGTAGAGAGGTCTTCAAGCAGTACCTGAGCGAGGCGTCTGAGGAGAGTTGGGAAAGGTACAGGGCCAAGCGAAAACAGGTGAAGGGACTAGTGAAAAAGAAGGAAAGTGTATTTGGGACGAAGCGGCGCAGAAGGCCAACGGAGGCCTGGAGGGGAACGTCAAGCAGATGTGGGAAGGGAGTAGTGGAATGATAAAAAAGAGCACGCAGGGGAGGGATACAGGGGTTGCAACTTTGCGAGGTGTGAACGGTGGATCAGTCAGCAGTGGGGAGGCAAAAAAGGAAGTTCTAGCAGGACACTACAAGAGACTTGGAGTGCCCTCGGAGAATGAAGCTTTTGACCAAGTGTTTAAGAAAGAGGTGGACACATGGGCCCAGACAGAAGAAGAAACATCGAAGGCAGACGTTGGCAAGGTAGCACCAGAAAATGAGTTCACTGAGGACGAGGTTGAGGCGTGTGTAATCAAGCTGCAGTGCCACAAAGCAGCAGGAGCGGATGGGATAGTCATCGAGTTCATGAAGTTTGGGGGAAGGGGATGATCCAGCTGATGGTACTGCTATACAATCGGGTGTGGAAAAACGAGTATGCGCCAAGTAGACGGAGCGAAGAAGTGGTTGTGAACTTGTTTAAGAAAGGAGACAAGACTGACCCAGGAAACTACAGGTGGTCAACACAGTAGGAAAAGTGTTCTGTAAGCTGCTGAACGATAGGATAGTGGGAGTATTGGAGAAGCAACATCGCATTAGTGAGGACCAGGCAGGTTTCCGAAAGAAGAGGGGGGTGCGTAGACCACGTGTTCACGGTAGGGTGAATCATCCAAGGTAGAAAGAGGGCGGGAAAGCCGACGTACTGCTTCTTCCTGGACGTGAAAAAGGCATACGATACCGTATGGAGAAATGGGTTGTGGAAATAATTGTCCAAGTACGGGATCAAGGGGGAAATGTGGAGAATGCTGAAGATGACAGAGTGTAAAAAAAGCGCGGTCATGCTAGACGGAAAGCTGTCTAAATTCTTCGACATTGAGCAGGGGGTCCCACAAGGTTGCAAGCTGTCCCCAACATTGTTCCAGGTGTTCATCAACGATCTGTTGGAAGTCGTAGAGGCAGTCCGGAAGGGAGTAAAAGTAGGGGACACGGAAACGTCGGTGTCAGGAATGCTGTTTGCGGATGATTTTGTCGGTATGTCGGACACCCCTGAGGGACTGCAACTGCAAATTGACGCGGCGAAGAAGTTTNGCTGTTTGCGGATGATTTTGTCGGTATGTCGGACACCCCTGAGGGACTGCAACTGCAAATTGACTCGGCGAAGAAGTTTGCTGATACGTTGAGATTGTCTGCCAACGCTAAGAAGAGTGCCCTCATGGCATGAAATGCGGACAGGGAGGAACCAGTAGAACATAGATGGAAGTGGGAGATCGAGGAGATCGCAGAAGTGGACCAGTACACGTACCTCGGAGTAGACATCGCAAAAGACGGCTCGTGGAATGCACCCATGTCCAAGGTAGCGGAGAAGGGCAAAGCACGAGCAGGGAAGCTGCACCGCTGCACCCACTACTCGCAAACCGGCACCTCGACACACTCATTAAAATGACGGGTTTGAAGAACGTAATCGTACCGCCGGTACGCCGGAGAAGTATGGAAAGGAAATAAGAAGGTAGTGAAAGAACTCGAGGCGGCGCAGATGAAAGCAGCGAAAATCATCCTAGGATGCTCCAAGCGCACAAGTCATGCAGCCGTCAGGGCAGAATTGGGGATCCAATCCCCACGGTCGGAAAGAGACGCAAGGAAGCTGACATGGCAGTATCGCATGTGAGGGATGGGAGAGGAGAGGTTGGCGAGAATAGTATGGGGCGAAGTGGGCAAACAAAAAGAGGGGTAGACAACCCACGGAATCGGTCAAGGTTGTAGAGGACGTATGGAAGGGATTCGAAATCGACGAAGATGAAATGCTGGAGACGAAGGGTCCAAAGGGGTTCAAGGAGAAGATATCTGTTGCTTGTGCCGAGAGAAAAGAACATTATCTAAGGAAAGAATCCAAGGATAAGAAGGGTCTAGAAGTGTACGGAATGTTGAAGGAAGGAATAGGGTTCAAGGACTACCTACATGGACCAATGGATGCAGGAA